TTCACATCCTTGTGATGAATGAATAAGTTCTGATAATTTTCCTTGCCTCATTTTATTTGCACGATATCCAAATACAAGTAACTGCGCGTCTATGACATTAGATTTTTCAGAACCATTTGGTCCGACAATCGCAGAAAATGACGAAATTAAAAAATTTTACGATTAGAAAGAATCTCGTGCCGCAACAAATCTCCAACAAAGCAAAATATATATTATACCTTGTGAAAGGGGCCTATTTAAATTTTACCAAAATACGAGATAAAGTTGTTCAACCCATTTTTTTGATAGCAAAACATTGTTTAGGTTCAAGTACAGGAACCTGACGCGTATTGACTTCAACATCTTTAATTCTTATTTATAATCAAATCAAACTTCATCCAATTTTAGTTTTTTACTAAAATTATATTTTAAATTTTTATTTTAATTTATTTGATTTTTATCTGATATTTAAAATTGCTTTTGAAGTTGCTTTTATAAAATTTTATTTTACATATTTTAAATCATCTTATGAGAATTATTTAACGTTAAGGCATGTCAAATTTTTAATATTTATTTTTATTTTTAGATGTAATACAAAAAGAATATTTAATAATTAATGAATTTAATATTCTTCTTATGAATTACTTTGTGAATATAGTTGAATTTTACTATATATAATATTGAATTTTTATTATTATGAATTTCATGAGTGATCCCAAATTTTATTAAATAAAATAATTAAATATAACAAATTTTTATAATAAAACTTACTATTATATATAACAAATTGAAAATTCTGTACTAATTATAATAAATAAGACTTTTATTAACTTTTATATAATAAATATAACAAATTTATTTTTTTTGTATTATTATGACATATGGAAGGTGGTTAGTAGAAACATGAGAAATTCAAATTTTGGTCAAAATTTACCACTTGGCTGATCTTGGTCATGTGCACAAATTTAGCTTAATAATAAAAATTAATAAAAATTTTGGATTTTCCCTAATCACTTCTCATATGATTAATCAGTACTGAATTAGTGGTAATTAAATAGTTGATTCAATTTATTTAATTTCTATAATTTAAATTTGAAATTTTAATTATGAAACTGTGAAAACTGCATAAATTTAAATTATGAAAATTTTAATTGCAAAAAATATGTATGCAATCATATAATATATGATACATAATATTTATTTTTATTTATTATTATGCTTATTTGAGATATTTTGAATAATAAGAATATATTTGTCAAATAAATGGAAAAACTATATAATAAAGTAAGACATAGTGGTAAAATATAAATGTTTTTTATGTAATTTTCATAAAATTCAAAGACACTTTTGTTTTTAATAAACTTACTCAATTTTTATTCATTTGTTATGTTTAAATATTCATTAGAAAGAGAATAAAATTTTGGATAATATTGTTTATTTATATTTTAAAATTAATAATTGATTTATTAAATTATATTACTTTAAAATTAACATTTTTCTTAAAATATTTATTATTGAAATCTGATTGGATATAATATTTGGTATCATTATATAATGAGTAAATTATTAAAATTCAATAAGACGTTACTGATTTTCTTATTATAACAAATTGTAATCTCTAAAAATAAAGATTTATTATAATGAAATTCAATTGTAATCTATTTACGGTGATAAACAATAAATTTTAAATGATATTAGAATTGAGAGTTTTTAGTTTAAAATAGTTTATTAATTATCATTAAGATTACTTATCTAAATTTATTTTTATTTGCCTAAACGTTTAAACTAATAATGCTATTTGAAACCTATTTTAACGTATTGCTTAAAAATCTAGAAACTTTTTCAAAACCTTTAGAATAACTTTTTTTTAAATCTGAAACTTGATGAAAATTAATTAAGTTTAGGAAACCTATTAGAAGTTTAGGTAAAGATATTTATTATAAACAATTAGTTTAATCTTAATTATCTCAAAACTCAAATTTTCTAAAAATAGTTTAGAAAGGAATCTTTAATATAAACCTTTAATTTCACTAAATTTTTACTAAGTATTTAATATAAATTTCACTATTTTTATAAGCTTTGATATAATTTTATCTTTTTTTGAATATATTTTTAACCAATTAAAATAAAATATATTTAATTAATAGTATTATCCTACAATTTTATGTATCATAAAAAGTAATAGCAGCCTTTTATTTTTTTAATTTTTACACATTTATTTTATTTTTACATTTATTTTACATATATTTTAACTTTTATTTCACATATTAATTTAAAATGCAAATTATCTTTTAATTAAAGATATAAACTAGTAATAATAAATTTTTTTATGATAAATCATAATTTTGTAATTTTATATTTTTGTTTATTAATCATTTTTATGATATTTTATTATATAATTAGCTTAATTTTATAATAATTTGTAATTTAAAATATAACAAAAAAATATTATACTATATTTTATTAATAAAACCTATATAATAAATATAAAAAAAAAACTAGCTAAAATTCAAATTAAAATGCATAATATTTAAAATAATAAATTTTGATGATTATTATCCAGTATTATTATAAATAGAAAAACTTAATTTAACTATATAACTAAAATTTGGTAACTAAATATAATCTAATGCAATATTAGATAAAAGTTGATTAATCATTTCTAACCAAAAACTCTTAATCTTAGTATTATTTAAAACTTATATAAATAGATCATTCATAAAGTAATTTATGAGAAGAATTATCAAATCCATTAATTATTAAATAAAACCTAATATTCTTTTGTTTTATATTTAAAAAAGAAAACACTAGTCGAAATCAAAAAAATCGGCATATGGTAAATCGGCTCAAAATCGGCCTAAAATTGGATATTATCAAAAATCAGCCAAAAATCAGC